CTTTCTTTCCTCTATCTGGAAAGAGTCGCCCCTTTTCCCCTGGGAATCGGTCCTTACAAAACTGGTTTTTGCTCCCGGCAGCTACTGGAACCCGTGGAAGAAGACGCGCCGGAGCCCCGGGATTGCGGCAGCATCAGCCCCAGCGGCGTCTGGAGCGACGAGCGCTGCTCGGCCGCGCAGCGCTGGGTGTGCGAGAAGTCCTGGCACTGCTGAGGGCCCCGGAAAAAAATATAGGGAAAAAAATCCACTTTTCATTGCAAAAATAGAAGCAGGAAGGGAGCAGGTTAAAACCTGCCTATGGAGCATGACACAAAAAAATAAACTCCCGTGTTTTCTGCTTTTTGCCCCGCCATGGTGGCGCATTCCCGGTTCTGCTCCCAAAAACACAGTTTCTGCCACATAATTTTGCCACTTTAAAACCTCCTGGTTCTTCCTCGTGTCCTTCTGCAATGGCAAGAGCCCAGCTTTGCCTTCCGCATTTTTTTAATAGGGGGTGGATTAAAAAAACCCCTCCAATCCTGCTCTGTTGTAAATTTGCTGATTCAATGATTTCTTATCAAATAAACCTTGTTGTTCTTGTTGTTTTCTTAAGAAATGGTGCGTGAGCTTTTTATTTCCGTGGTCTTTGGGGAGGTCTGGGGAATACTGGGATGGAGGGGCGGTCTGGAGCCATGGATAGGGAATACTGGGATGGAGGGGTGGTCTGGAGCCGTGGATAGGGAATACTGGGATGGAGGGGTGGTCTGGAGCCATGGATAGGGAATACTGGGATGGGGGAGGTTTGGGAGTACTGGGAGCGCTGGGATGTGTGTGTGGGGGGAGTCTGGAGCCATGGACAGGGAATACTGGGAATACCAGGATGGGGGCGGCCTAGGGAGTGCTGGGAACACCAGGATGGGAGAGTTGGGAAGTACTAGGATCACTGGGGTGGGGGCTGGCCCCATGGATGGGGAATGGGGGACACTGGGAGCGTTGGGGACATGGGGGACACTGGGGCTCTGGTTACTGGGGTGGGGGGGCTGGGCTCGGATACGGCCCTGGGGAGGGGGCCCAGGCGTCCGGGACAGGTCACGGCTGTTTAATTGCCTCCTTTTAGCACAAAAATAATAAACATTCTCGCTAGCCACAGAGTTGCCAAAGCCAGGTGAGATCCACATGGGAACATCGGGACTGGCCCAGATCCCAGTGGAAATGGCTCAAATTCCAGCAGATCCTCCTGGAAATCTTGAGGACCGGCTGGATGCTCAGGAAAGTGCTGGAAATGGATTGTTCCTCAGGGAAATGCTGATTGGATTGGATCATCAGAGATTGGATCATCAGGGAAATGCTGGGAATTGCGTGAATTCTTGGGCAAATGCTGGAAACAGGTCAGATTTCTGTGGAAGCAGCTGGAAATGGGGCAAATTCTTGTGGAAAGCAGCTGGAAATGGGTCATTCCTTGAGGGAAATGCTGGAAACAGGTCAGATCATTAAAGAAATGATGGAAACAGGTCAGCTCTTTGCGGAAATGCTGGAAATGGCTCAAATTCTTGGAGAAACACTGGAAATGGGTTAGCTGTTCATGAAAAGAAGCTAGAAACAGGTCACGGCTTGGGGAAATGCTGGAAACAAGTCGGGTGTTCATGGAAAGCAGCTGGAAATGGCTCATTCCTCAAGGAAATCCTGGAACTGCTGCTGGAAATGGGCTGACTCCTCTGAGAAATGCAGGGAAATGAGTTGTTCCTGAGGGAATATGGCTCAAAAATGGGTCAGAAAACTGCTGGAAATGGGTCGTTCCTCAGCAAAATGCTGGGAGCGGGTTGGGTCCTTTGCGGAAAGCAGCTGGAAGCAGGACGTTCCTTAGGGAAAGGCTGGGAATGGGCCCACAGGGTGATGGGACCTTCATTTCTGCCACTCGCAGCCTTCACCGCCCCGGGCCGGGGGTTTCTCCCCTTCCTGGAGGCAGAAGGAGCCGCGTTGGGTTGAGGCCAAGGGTGGAGGCCCCCAAGGAGGACGAAGCTCTGGGGGTTCCTGCATCATCCTCAGCCCCACCAGCCCCCCAGGTGTCCGGGCAGCCCCCACCCTGGGCCACCCTATAGCCCCCTGTCCCCTTCCCAGGGCCCTTGGAGGACCCGTGTGTCCTGGTGGCCCTCACATCTCCTGGGAGACCAGGGTGTCCGGGCTGCTCTCCCAGAGCTGCTGGAGGACCCAGATGTCCAGGTCCCCTCCCTGTGCCCCAAAGGGACCCGGACACCCGGGCCGGTCACCGTACCGTGACGGAGGTGATGTTCATCGACGTCATCGTCACCTCCGTGCTCTCCGCTTTGGGCCTGAGGGCCCGTAGCCACTTCAGGTACTGCTCTGTCACCTGCGGCCACACACAGTCCGTGTCCTTGAGCGTCCTCCACGAACCCTCCCAGCTACCCAGATCGGCCCCAAACCTGACCCGACGGCACCAATGCGCTGGGGACGTTGACCGCCCCGGACACGGGGGCCGTACCTGCCGGTTGAGGAGGCAATGCACAACGTAGATGAAGACACCTTGGAGGCTGTTGAGGCCGGTGAAGAGGAAGGCCATGACCGGAGTGCCTGAGCGCGTCTGCAGCAAACCCAGGCCCCACGTGCAGCCCAGGATGAAGACTTGGGCAAGCGCCTTGAACGTCAGCGTCCTGCGGGGGCAAGTGCTGCTGAGCCCGTGTGGAGCTTCCGCCGTGTCCTGCCCGGCCCCCAAGGCCCCCAAATGGGTTTGAACCCAATGAAACTGACCCGACACAACCCACATTGATCAAACTGAATCCAACCCAACCAAACCGCATTGATCAGAATCAAACTGGAGCCAACTCAACCCAACCCAACCAAACCATGTTGATCCAAATCAAACTGGACTCAACCCAACCAAATCTGACCCAACCCAATTGATCCCCAACAAAACAGCACTGAATTGAATCAAATTGAACCCAACCAAACATAACCCAATCAAACTGCGTTGATTTAAATCAAACTGGACTCAGCCCAACCAAACCCAACCCAACCCAATCAAACCACATTGACTCAAATCAACCTGAATCCAACCCAATCCAGCTCATCGGAGCCCAACTAAATCACATTGATTTGAATCAAACGAGATGCAAACAAATCCTATGCAAACCAACTGAACCCAACCCAACTGAACCCGACCAAACCGCATTGAAACGAATCAGACTGAACCCAGCTCAACTGAACTGGTGTTTCCTCCTGTTCACCTGCAGCAGAGGCACTGGAGGAGAAACCTGCTGGACCCACCTGGTGCTTTTGAGGGAGGAGACATCCTTGTTGAGGGTGGACAGCTTCTCCTGCAGGATCCAGAGGGTGGTGAGATAAAACACCAGGTTCACCTGGGGAGCAAGAGCTGCTGAGCGAGACCGGGCACTGCTGCGGTCACCGTCTTGCCAGGAGCCGGCACCAATGAACCGTGACGTTAACCTGGAATCCACCAGATTCCAAGGTCTGAGAGAGGAGAACGGGAAAGACCTACCAGGATGATGGCGCAGACCGGGCCGACGAAGCTCCACACGAATCCTCCCTTTGTGGTCAGCCAGCAGCTAAAAGACAAGAGGGGGAGGAGGAGAAAAAGATCCCCCCAAACCCAACCACAAGAACCTGGGTGAAGATGGAAGAGGAAGGAGGGCCAAAGCTGGCACTTACTGCTTGCTGGTCCCATAGCCGCCGGGGTTGATGGCGATGGAGATGGCCACCACCAGGGCCGGCAGGCCATAGCCCGCGGGGTAGATGTAGCGCTTCCTGAAGCGGCTGGCGCTGGTGTAGTTGACCACGCGCAGGTTCCGCACGGTGAGGAAGAGGTGCAGGCCCTCCAGGAACATCCAGGTGAAGCAGGCGAGGAAGAGGTAGTGGAGAAGGCCGGCCACGATGGCGCACGCCAGCTGGGAGGAGGGACAGAGATGGAGGCCGTCAGAGTCTCCTGGAAAGACCCACCTCAAAGAGGGACCCTGGGTACCCCCGATGTCCCCATGAAGGTGCCCAGAAAGGTGGTGGCATCTCCAACCTGTGGGCTGGATGTGGCCTTGGGGAATCTCATGTGGTTGTACCTGTGTTGAGTTGGGGTTGGGCCAGAGACCCCTAAATGCCCCTCCAACCCCAGATACCACAAAATTTCAGGTCTTGAATCAGCCCAGAAAGAGAAGAGACCCCACAGCCTTGAGGAACCTCATGTGGTTGGACCCGGTGAGTTGGGGTTGGACCGGAGACTTCCAGACATCCCTCCAACCCCTAATGCGGCACCCTGAACCCTCCTGGAGAGGGACAGGGCCCACAGCAAAGGGGCCAGAGACGACCCTCGAGCCGGACATCCTCGTCCCCAGGTCCCCGGTACCGGATTCCTGACGGGCCGCATGGCCGCGAGGAAGAGGACGTCGGCCATGAGGAGGCAGATGCTGAGCTGCAGGTGCAGGGCCACGCTGACGTTCCAGAGCGAGCGGCACAGGAGGAAGGTGCCGATGGCGAGGACGAGGCCGAGCACCGACAGCGACAGCCCCACGCAGGTGACCAGCTCCAGGGCGAAGCTCTCCTGCAAGGAGCCGCCGTGTGAGCCGCCCTCTCCCGGCCCGGAAAACCGCGTCGGCGCCGGCGCCGGACCCACCT